CAGCTGCTGTGTAAACAAAGAGGAGAATCTGAGATTGATATCAACAGGATGTTTACATTTTAAAGAGTTTCTAAGAAAACAGTAAAGATTTCCTGCAGTCGACTCTATTGGCATTTATTTTAGTGTGTATGACAGTTCAAAAAAAGTATTAATGATTGAGGGTGGAATTTCCTTATGGCTCTCATAGGTCAATACCGAAAACAAACAAACAAACAAAAATAGTTAAAAATATCCATTGGGTTAAACACAATTTCCTTTATCTTTTTGGAATTCAGTACACAACACGGGGTACAACTTTAGACCCCTGCTCCTGGGGCAAGCACAACTCCAACCGATGGCACAGAACGAAGGACTGGCGCTGAGTTGATATAAACTGGTGGCACATGTGCCACTGCAATCAAGCTAGTATCAGTATCCTCACTGAAAAATCCTGATGTCAGAAATGCTAACTCTATTATTACGCCCGCATGCATTCACCGGATAAGGCAGCAGCGTTCCTCCCTGAAGGGTCGCGCCACAGTAACTAGTCAATAGTCTAATTTGCTGTTGGGTGGAACTTGGTTTAAAAGACTTCAGGCCGGGATTCATTTTTGTCTCCGTCAAGATGTGTAAAAACTGATTTGTGGAAGTGCCTCCTTCTCCTGCCAAAAGCATAATGTAAATGAGACAGAAATGGATTGGTCTGGGATGCTCTTTTCCAGTTTTGGATTTGCCTCAGCAGTGCCTTGGCTTCACCAATCCGTTTCTGGGTGGAATTCAAAGTGTTGGCTTTAACGTATAATACTCGAAACGCTTTGGGACCTGGTTCTTTGAGACATCGCCTCTCTCCCCCTGCGGTATTGCTGCAGTCGAGATCAACGGGTGTGATGGCAAAGCCTTTGGACCTTGCTCCCTAGCTAGCTTTGCCAGACCCCAGATTTGTTCACTTCCCAGGCACACTGTGAAGCAATTTTTATTTGTTTGCTGGGACTTTGCAAATGGGCGGGTTGTCGATCTGCAGAGCAGGACATTATTTTTAATAGTTACTTGTCTGGCTTGTGGTAATGTTGTAAGGGGACAGGTCAATTAAGATCTTAATTATTTGTATGGGTTTAAAAAAAAAACAACATTAAGGAAAGCGCGAGGGTTTGTGAAACCTAAGTAAATAAAATCAGCTTCTCTGTAAAAACTGAGAGCTGAAAGGCAACTGAAACCCAGCTTTCAATGTGAGGAAGGTGCTGAGTTCTGAAAAGTGGGTTCTGTACAAGTTGGCTACATGATTCTGTAGGCCGTGTGTTTCCTCTGCATTCTGCGATATGTTTCATGCTACGGAATACACTGCATATAGTAGACTCCTTGGTGTTCATGCCTAATCCCCACCAGGGTTTATGGAAAGTATATGTCTGGACAACAGGGAAGTTTGTTCACTCTCTCTTTGCTTCAGTGCAACCTCATGCAAAAATATCTGTTAATAATGCTAAAGGCAGCTATGCATGTGGACCAAAGATTACACAGAGAACTATTTACTTACAGTGCCTGAGACTCAAAGACTATGGGGTAAAAATATGCTTTTAATAAAGGATGTATAGGATTTGTTCATAAATAACAGCCCTTTACATAATACAGATTATTTGTAAAATCTTAAATAAAGTGCTTTGCAATATATATTTAGCCATGTCAGGAACGTGCAATCTCATACGGAAAGTCTGGCTAAACATCAAAATACAAAACCAAGGATTTGAAAACCACTATTGAAGTTTTAGAAATATATGATCAGATTCTGCAGCCCTTGCTCACTCCAGACCAGATTCTGACACCCTTACTAACATTCAACAGGACCTCACCTCCCCTAGGTCATTGGGATTGCCATGGAGTAGGGTGCTACTCAACTTGAGTAAGGCTATCAAAGTCTGGTCCTTGGTGAGCAGTTCCATTGACTTCAACATGACAACTGAAGGGGAAAAATGAGCGAGGGCAGCAGCATCTAGCCCACCGTGACCCACAGTGAAAAAGGCCAGGCCAGGTAGAGCAAAGCTGAAACTGACCTAGTTCTCAGCTCCTAACACTGGGCTCTATTTTTCTTCATCTATGACTATGGGTACATCTACACAGCAAGCAGGATCCTATGGCAGTTAGTCTCAGAGCCCGGGTCTACATACTATGGTGCTAAAAATAGCTCTGTAGATGTTCAGGCTTGGGCTGGAGCTCAGGATCTGAAGCCTAGGTCTGGGGGTGGGCTCTGGATCAGGTCCAACAGGAAAAAACAGCCATGAACCACTGCACATGGGGTGTGATGAAATGGGACAAAAATTGGGAGAATTTCTATAAAACCAGAGTGCAAGTATTTACTAAATGCATCCTCTTGGAAGCCCTAGAAGCAGAGATATTAGTCCTTTTTTAAGAGTACATTCCCACTGAGGTCACAGGACTGCTCCTGTGAATAAAGATACGTCACAAGTAAGACTTACAAGATCAGGCCTTAAAAAAAGCCCAGGAGTATACTTAAAGGAGTTAAACATAATTTGGGGATATTATGCAGTAATGTTACTGCTTATCACATCTACCTTGTGGAAAATCTGCTACAGCCATTTACCCTTTCTTTTGACTTTTCCTTACACTTGCAAAGATTGTGATGTTCAGTGTTGATTCGTCTTTTACCAATATTGAATTACAGCACACTTCCTTTTTTGTAAAAATCACAATAAACTTCCTCTAGTACAGTATCTGTGCTTCCAGTTTCTGTTAGGAAAGGGAGTAGGTGTTATTACAGTGAAGGAACTCAGTTCAGCTGGCTCAAGAATAATCAGCTAACAATAATTAACCCCCATAGCTAAGTTAGTCTTGCATCACTAAACCCTACCTTATTTGTCTGGATTTTCTAATTTAACATAACTCTTGATGGTGCTGCAATACCGAGCCTATTGGACATTCACTCACTGCTTGGTTTTCATTAACAATGTTCATGCCCCAATTTTAAAAAATCCACCATAATTATATGGGAAAAAGGAACTCTCCATTTTCTGCACACAATTCCATTGCCACTGCCATTGAATGTGCATATTTTCCCTCTTTAGAAGTCTGCAAGTGAAATGCCTCAACTAATGACCCAAATAATGTTCCAACCCCCACAAAACACACATCTGATCAATTAGCATTGTTAGACTGGGAACCTTAGGTCTGAAGAGAAACATATTTTCTATTGCTCCCCAACTACTAAGAATTACAATTAAATCTGGATGGAGAGAGACTGGAATAATTTAGTGTCTCTTCTTCCCTCTCCTTCAGAGCACAACATGAAAATATGATCCAGAAATAACTTTTCTATTTCACAGCAGCTGGCACAGTCAGGTGTTAAGGTTGGCTTTTAACTTATGATCACACTGACTACTAAACAGTATAAATTTTTTGAAGCAACAACTTGCCAACTCTATAGCAACTTGGACTATAGTTCCTATTTTTATAAACTTCCAACCTTTATAAATTAAACCCATTTTTACTGTCAATATACTTCCAATTCAACTTAAGGCCAACTCAGATTTTTCCCCTAATTCTCACATTCCCAGAAATTACTAGAAGGAAGAATAAAAAAAGAAAGGCATTTAACCTCACATTTGTTTCTGCTTCTTCTTCGGCTTGCCAGCTGCCTATAACCTCGCCTCAGCGTTTCACTTTCTTGGGTACATTTGTCATTTTAGAAGTGTGACGACACAGTGGAATCAATAAAACAAAGTTAATACAGGGTTTCAAAGGTTCCTGCATGCCAAGGCATTGCATAGATTGACAGTGTCAAGAAAACACTTACTAAAGCAGACAAAGGCACCTGCAAACAGTTATCATAGGTTCTGATGCCGCAAGGGAAAGAAGCATGTGTGTAACCTGAAGCATGTGAGCAGTCCCACTGAATTCAATGGAACTACATAGCTATAAGTAGGGCCCTACCAAATTCACGGCCACGAAAACGCATCACGGACTGTGAAATCTGGTCTGCCCCTGTGAAATCGGGTCTTTTGTGTGCTTTTACCTTATACTATAAAGATTTCATGGGGGAGACCAGCATTTCTCAAATTGGGGGTCCTGACCCAAAAGGGAGTTGCAAGGGGGGGTTGCAATGTTATTTTAGGGGGTCACTGTATTGCCACCTTTACTTCTGCACTGCCTTCAGAGTAGGGTGGCTGGAGAGCGGTGGCTGCTGATTGAGGGCCCAGCTCTGCAGGCAGCAGCACAGCAGAAAGGGTGGCAATACCATACCCTGCCATTCTTACTTCTGCTCTGCTGCTGGCGGCCGCTCTGCCTTCAGAGCTGGGCTTCCTGCCAACAGCCGCTGCTCTCCAGCTGCCCAGCTCTGAAGACAGTGCCACAGAAGTAAGGGTAGCAGTACCGCAACCCCCCCCACAATAGCCTTGTGACCCTTTTTTACCCCTACAATTACAACACAGTCAAATTTCAGATTTAAATAGCTGAAATCATGAAATTTATGAATTTTAAAATCCTAGGACTGTGAATTGACCAAAATGGACAGTGAATTTGGTAGGGCCCTAGCTATGAGCACTGTGGCTCTGACCCAGCAAAGCACGTAATGCACATTGATAGTCTCATTGAAGTCTATGGGTCTACTCATGTGCTTAAAGTTAAGCATGTGATTAAGGTCAAATTTTCAAAAGTACCTAAGGTCCGATCTTGCAAATCATTGCTTTACTTTATTACTGTGAGCAGTCCCCTTGTAATCTGCAAAGCTTTACTTATATGGGGGTGTGATCCAAAGCACACTGAAATGAGTGGGAGTCTCCAATGGCTTTAATGACCTTTGGATCAAGCGCACGATTAGTTCTCTTTAAGTCAAGTCAATGAGACTACCTGCAAGGATCAGGCCTTTGGTTTCTTATTTAAGAATCTCTCCAAGGGAGACAGGACAATTGTCCTTCCCCCAGAGGCAGAGTTAAATAAAATCAAATCATACAAGCCCAGTGCTCCATGATGAGAATGTCATGGCAACTTTTTGGAACATCAGAACTGGAGCATACCCTTTTGCAGGATTGGTTGAGATTGCATCTTGTACTTTTTCTGTCTGCATCCAGGCCAAAACTGTCTGGGCATCTGAAGGGAATAACTGTGTTGAAAGGAATGACAGACAACATTGATAACGGCACTGTTGACTGTACGTGGAGATTTTTAGTTACCTAGCCCAACTAGCAGTATTTTATTTCCAGTGCTCAAAATATTAAAATGCATTTAGAAGCGCGCAGCAGAAAAGTGACACATAAAATCAAAATTTAACCTTAACCAACTGACAGAAAATACACATGGTTGGATTCTATGATGTGTCAAGTTCACCTTGCCCCGCTTACATTGCATGGCACAGGGTGAGCTACAGTAGCTGAAGATTTACACTGGAGAATCCCATCCTGTGGAGAGGCAATCTCTGCCACTGTCAAGTGCTGGAAACCACTCTTGCAGGTGCAGGGAGGGAGAGTGTGAAAAGCATGGGGAAGGGAGGAGGCGTGGCTGAGCGAGTCTTTGCCATTCCTGATTTCCCATTGGTATAAGGTCCCCTCAGTAGAGTAAGTGAAAGTTGCCCCTCTCTGGCCTTAACTTATACCAGAGCCAAGCAGCTGAAGATCAGGGAGTCACTATTGTCTCCCTGACCCCTCTGCACTGTGCCTGGGCTGTTTCAGGTGCAGTGGAAAATCAAGCCCACAGAATCTGATTCTGTACAATAAGTTTCCAGGCACTCTGAAGCCTACTGTGTCTGTGGAGTCAGCGTGAAGCACTGGAAACAGCTACAAACAAGGCTGAGAGCTCTTTTTATTCAGAATATCACCAGGTTCAATCATCATTGGATTTTGCAGTCTGTCACTATCCAATTTTTAAGTTCTCTGCCATTTTGATTTTACAAATTACACCTAAGGGCAGAGGTGCTGGAACTAGGGGGCTGCTGCACCCCCTAGCTTGAAGTACTAATAACAACCCATATAGATTTGGTTTCTGCCTTCGGCACCCCCACTCTAAAAATTGTTCCAGCACCACTGCCTGAGGGACAGCAGGGCATGTATATATGCCATGCCAAGAGTTCAAGACCATTGTGATGTCAGAGGTAACTCAACCAATCATCACACTTACTCTGCAGCTTATTTGCATGGAAAAAATTCATTGGTTCTGTGAGGGAGACTGCTCAGATGGTGGATTATTTGGCCTAACTGCCCACACCCATGCACCAAACTGCAACCCACACAAATCAACATAAATCCTCCAGCACAATCCCTCAGACACAAATCAGCACAACCACCTATACTCACAAACACCACCACAACCAGTATACACAATAACCCAAATATGTAGCTCCTCACCACACACCCCTCGCTTTGTCACCCACACAAATCTACACAATTCTCCCAGCACAATGCAACTGACATACAAATCAACACAACAACCCCAAACATCACTCTGAAGCCTAGAATGTCTCTTGAGTTACTGTAAGTGACAAATACAGCTACAAGTATGTTTGAGAGCTCTTTTTGTTTAGCATATCACCAGGTTCAATCATCACTGGGATTTGTGGTCTGTTACTGTCCAATTTTTAAGTTCTCAGACATTTTCAGCTTTTTTACCCACAACTTTACGCATTACACCTATGCAATAGCATGGGTTTTCAGCTACTAGTCTAATAATAATAGTTGATCTTACGTAGAAAATATCACGGGCCAGATTCTGCTCTCAGATACAGTGGGGTAAAGCCAGACTAATTAGAGTAAACAGGTCTGAGTCTTCTTTTACATTGGTGTACATCAGGAATAACCCCTCTGAAGTCAATGGAGTTACACTGGTGTAAAAGTGGTCTGAAATCAAAATCAGACCCAGTGGAATTCCTCTGGATTTACATTGGTGTAACTGAACGCAGAAGTTGTCCCCAAGTGATTAGGCATCTCACAAAACTCTGAAGATTAAATGGTTACCTTCTTTAAATTTTGTTTTATAGTTGTACTGTCTCTCTCCACAACCTTCATCATTTCTTGGCTTGCCATATATAGGACATTCGCTGAAGAAAAAGAAATGCACAATAATGGAATTAGAAAGCAAATCTCTTACACTTACAGCAAGCTATGGGTGCAATCCTGCAAACAAATACTACCGGCTGTGCACTTATTATCCTGCACAATCCACGGAAAGCAACACAGCTGATAGAAAGTGTTCACAGGACTGGGCTTTGGGCCCTAAAATATCATGCAACATATCAGATAATTTTCAGTGAAATTCACTTATCACTATTCAGACGACGCAGCCACTTTGCTACTGACTTTCTGAGAGGGCTACCTGACCCAAAGTACTAGTGAAGAAAAAGGTGCAATGTATTAATTAATTATTCTTATATTACTTGGTGTGATCTTTAGTATGCTCTTTGGGAATAATCCGAAGTAATGGATGGAATTCTCAGCACTCAAAGAGCATTTTTTTCTTTTTCAAAGCACTTTGCAAATACACAGAGTAATTTATTTTCTCAATACTCCTGTAGATTAGGTAATTCTGAGTTAATGTTAATTAATTATTAATTATTCTTATTCTATGGATTGTGACAGTGCCTAGAGGGTCCAATCACAACCCAGGACCCCTTTGAGCTAGGTATTGAACAAACACAGACTCTAAATGGAGCTGCCTGGCTGTCAGAAGCAATCCTCACCAGAGGAGGGAATGGTCAGATATCCACGATGGCTAATACTGTGCTGGCTGCTGGTTTTTCAGGAAAGACTTCCTAAAAACAGGGTCCTGTCTGCTCAGTATGGACATAAAAGACCCCATGAAGCCCTCTGTGGATTTAGCATGGCGTACCTGGCCATGGCCCCTCCTCCCAACCATGTCTTCTTGGCTGCCACCCCCAGGCTGGTTGGTTGCTAGCAGTGCTTTGTGTATAGTCTGATCTGGCTCCAGTTGAAGTCCATGGGAGTTTTGCCATGAATTTGCAAGAGCACCAGAAGCCGCCTGTTGGGATTGGGATGAATGGGGCTGTATACATTAAAAAATTACTGACCACCAATGTGGAACTTGACAATCTTGCTAGCGATACTGCATGCAATTTCCTGTTCTCAGCTCAGCCCAACAGTGAGAGCAAAACTGAGTTAGGGCAAGGACAGACATCTAAAACGTCTTCTGCCTGCAGCCTATTTAGAGTCTCCTGTCTCCCCTCTTCCCACCTTAGCCAATCCTCTCTCCCATCTCTGCTTTAGGAGGTGACAAATTGCTCACTGATGGGTTTTGTTGAGACATACTGGGTTGCTGTTGCGGTTCTTGCCTACAAGGTGTGTTTTTCCTCTTCAGGGAGCACAGAAACAACCTCTTGCACAACAAAAAGAAAAGAGTCAGGGGCTGCCCAATTCCCACTGAAATTCAGTGGGAGTTAGGAACCAAGCTCCCTTAGGCGCCTGCAAAAATCCTAGCCATGGGCTGCAATTTTCATGTGCTACTGATGATTTTGGGTGCACAAAATGAGACACCTTTAGGGTTACCATATTTCAGATTCCCAAAAAGAGGACACTGCTGGGGCAGGGGGTGCAGGTGGGGGAGCTGGAGGGATGTGTGTATGTACTGGGAGGGATATTTGGGGGTGTTGGAGGGGTGTGTGTACTGGGAGTGGGTTTGAGGGGTGCTGGAGGGATGTGAGTACTGGGTGGGATATTTCAGGGGCTGCTGCAGAGGTGAGAGAGTACTGGGAAGGGTATCATGGTGGTACTGAAGCGGGTACCTGCGGCCTCACTCTTGAGGTGGGGGGCAGTGTTCACTCCCTGTCACAGTGATAAGGTGGCTGGCGCAGGCCTGGGGTGCAGTGTCAGCCATCAGTCAGCGCTTCCCTGCCTCTCCCTCTCCCCAGGGCTGGGGGACAGGGCCTGAGTGGGCAGGATCTGGCAGCTGTGGCTGCAAGGAAGGAACCAATCATCTACAACTGCAGGAAAGGGACCAGTTGGAACATGGAGACGGCTCTTTCTGAGCTGCCAACATCTGCTTGCAAAAATTCCAGACACTGCCTCTTATCTGAAAAGTCCCCCCGGACAGAGGACCAAAAAAGAGATCGTATCTGGGAAAACCAGGATGTGTTTAGACACATTGAGCACGACTTTCAGAAGTGCCGAGCACCTGCAGATTCGGTTGGCTCCCAGTGGAGCGGTGGCTGCTCAGATCAGAGGCCATTTCTGAAAACACTGGCTTTAAAGTGCACTGAAAACTAGGAAATGTAGTAGAATTGATATGGGTACAAATCCCGAGCTGTGAGAATGTCTATATAGCACTAGGGCTACACTACCGGCCTCTGGATAAAGAAAAAGAAACTGAGTGCACTGTGGTGAAGGATTACAAAGTGGCAGCAAAATCTAGCAACATGGTAATGAAGGTGGAAGTCAACTATCCGCATAAACGGGTTAAACAGCATAACAGGACAAAGTTTAGAGAAACAATTTCTTGTCACTTTAACACTAGACACTTTCAGTGACTGCTTGGAATAGCCAGTTCTAGAGCACACAAAAGGAGAGGTTATTCTTGATGTCTTAGGAAACACATAGGAGCTAATCAAGAAGTGAAAATGGCTGTGCCACTAAGTAACAGTGACCACAACATAATTAGCTCAAGATGTAAAAACAAAGAACAACAGATTCTTTAAGTATATCAGAGGAATGAAGCCTGCAATAGACTTGGGAAGCCTGCGGGAGTATCAGGGCTAACGGGAACAAAGAAGGAAGATACGGGCATTGCTGAGAAGCCAAATGATTTCTTTGCCTGGTCTTTATCAATTAGAATGTTGGGGAGATTCTTACTTCCAACCTGCTCTTTTCTGGTAATATGGATGAGATGCGCTCAGAGTCTGAGGTGCCAGAAAAATTACTGCTGAAGCAAACTGAACATTTAGAAAGCATGTCACCAGGTCCAGATGGTGTATCCAAGAGTTCTGAAGGAGCTTAAAAAAGAAGTGGCTGAACTGCTAACAAAAAAATTGCAAGCTCATTAAACATAGCCACTGTTCCAGAGATTCAGAGACTAGCAAGTGTTGTATCTATATTTTAAAAAGACCCTGGGGTAAACCAGCGAATTATTGACTGGTAAGTCTTGCATCTGCACGGTAAATTGATTGACATAGTAACTGAAAACTGAATAACAAAACACCTGGAAGGTGTCTAACTAACATGGAGTCTGAAAAGGAAAATCATGTTTTACTAATCTCTTATAATTCTTGAATGCGTCAATGAAGTAGTGGATAAAGGAGAACCAGCTGACATAATTTATTTAGACTTCCAAAAGGCCTTTGACAAAGTTCCACAGAAAAGGCTAATAAAGAAAATAAGTAGTAACAACATGAGAGGCAAAGTGTTGCCTGGATCAAAAACTGGCGACGAGACAGAAAACAAAGGGTAAGATTAAATGGCAAAAGGTTAACAGCAGTTGCCTCAAGGTTCCATACTAGGTCCTGTGTTGTTTATAAATTTATTAATGACCTGGAAAGGGGACTGAGCAGTGAGAAGTAGCAATGTTTACAGATGACACAAAGTTATTTAGGTTAGTCTGGATCAGACAAAACCTAAACAAGTTAGGTGAAAGGGCAACACAATGGCAAATGAAATTCAGTGTCAATAAATACAGTAATCCATGTGGGGAGGAAAATATTTACCTATTTGGACACCTTACAGGGTTCTAACTGAACAGTATCAGCTCAAAGAAGGCCTGGATGTCACTGTAGACAGTTCAATGAAAACATCTGCTCAGTGTACAGCTGCAGTTAAAAAAGCAAACAATGTTAGGTTGCCTAAGGAATGGGATGGTGAATAATACAGAGACTACTGAAATGTCTTTATATAAATCAATGGTGCAGCCTCATTTGGAATACTGTGTGCAGCATTGGTCACCCCATCTGCTATAGGATATTGCAGAACTAGGTGGATTCAGAGAAAGGTGGCGAGAATAATCTAAGACATAAAAAAAAATCACACAAAGAGAGACTGAGAAGATTGGGATTGTTCACTTAAATAAGGCGATAAAAGAGAGAGGATATGATACAAATCTATGAAATATGGTATAGAGAAGATAGACTGGGAACTTCTGTTTTCGCTATCTCATAACAAGAACAAGAGGGCAGTCAGTGTAATTAAAAGGTGGAAAATTTAAAAAAACCACACTTTTTCCACACACAGTGTGATTAAACCTTAGAACTCAGTGCTACAGGAAGTTGTTGAGGCGAAGAACTTAACAAGATTCAAAATGGGATTGGACATTTATATGGAAAACATATAACCATTTTTTTGGTGCAAGGGATGTTAAACCTCATGCTTAAGGGCTTATCTTGGTCTCTAACTATTAGAGATCTGGAAGAGACCTCATATAGAGGGCAGATCACCCCACATCTGTATACTGAGGGGTTCTTACACCTTAATCTGAAACATCTGGCATTGGCCAATGTCAGAGACAGAAGGGTGGACAAGATGGGCCTCAGGTCTGATCTAATCTGGCAATTCCTAAATACAATGCTTTTGGAGTACATCGTGAAATTTACTCCTCTTCCTAATTATTATTTTATCAGGGCCAGTGGTGATATTTTAAAAAGCAACTTCTCCAGATTTTTATGTAAAAATCGAACCTGAAAATAACTCAAATGCTCAACCGAAAAGGAAAGGGTACAGAGAACATCCATGTACTGGGTGAATGACGAATATTCATCTTTTATTTAAAAACACCCCACCCCCACCCCTATCCCAACCCACCCCTCTCTACAAGGGACCAACCAAGTAAAAATGCCTGCAGCTTGGGCTTTCAAAGATACTGAATAGCCACAGCGCCCACTGATTTCAATAGGAACTGTAGGTGCTCAGCACTTATGAAAATCCGCCCCTTAATTTCTTGTGATAGTAAAAACTGATAACACCTTCCTACTGCTATTTCTCCAGTGACCAAAACAACAACAGAATACAAAGGTTTTTTTTATATTTGTATAATTAATATTCTTTTTTGTAGTTTAAACGCAGTTTAAATGCAGTAGTGCAGATATAAATATATACTGCAGCAATAAAATACATGCACAGTGCAGATGTACAACAGACACGGACATCTTTCATAACAGCTTACTACCCTGGAACAATCTAAGGCCTGATCCTGCAAAGACTTATGCATGCAAGCAGTCCCATTGAAGTGAACTTGTCCACATGTGGACATAAAATTAAGATGTGCTCATACAAAGGGAAGCATCGAAGCCTTAAAGAATGTTGTGAGCTAGATCATACTTCCATTAACTGGTTAAATCAAATGGAAAATCCCAACATTTTAAAACAATGTACAGTCAATACTGCACTCTGTTTATTTATTAGATATTTATATTGTGAAGTGGCTAGTGAATGCATAACATTGGGTGTACAGACATACTCTTTTATGGCAGGATCAGTGGCTTTCTCTCCCCTTTGCTGTTACAATACAACAAATTGGGCTCCTTCACAGTGATTAATTTTTTCAAAAACAAAATCATAAAGTTCAGGGAGAAATCTCTCTCTGCCACCGCTTCCTAGTTCTATACTCTGCTAACCTTGACATGTTGTCCTGTTTCCTTACTAGGAGAACACTGAGCTTTGTTGTCAAAGAAAATTATTCAGAAGTATCCACTAAATTTTGTGCCCAACTTTAGGCCTGATTTTCAACAGGTTCTGAGACTATCCAGCTCTAACCAACGTCTATGGTAGCGGAGTGCTTGGCCCTTCTGAAAATCTAACTGCGAGTTGGACACCCAGAATCTGAGGCACACAAAATTAACAAACGCTTCTGAAATCTTCTGTCAAATTGGTCAGTGGGAGGCTCCCCACTGAGGTCATATGCTAGGTGCTTATTGTCACCCATTTCTGCAGGTAGGACGGTGTAAGACAAGAGCCAAATGACTTATTCTGTCTGAAAATTTCTATGAAACTGCCTAGAATCATTATTAGAGTCCTGTAATCTGGAACAACACTTATTGTTTGTCTTGACTTCTGGTATGATGTAAACAAGCACTTTGTAGTGTACCTCTCTTGTTCAAAGCAGGGCCCATATCATGTGGACATATGCACATGCTTAACTTTATGCACTGTGAGTAATTTCATAGAAATCAATGGGATTACTCACACTGTGCAAAGGTAAGCACGTGCATAAGTCTTTGCAGGATCGGAGCCTGGGGTAATCACCTGAAGTATGCCGCTAATTTAGAACTGTGTCCAAGTTACATCGGGGTTGTGACCTTAACACCCAACTTGCAGTTTGAAACCCTGAGCGAGCAGTGCCACTCAGAAATAAATTGCATGTCTCAGTTCAGGGAAATTTGGTTTATTAAAGGCAAACCAAAATTAAAAAACAACATTTTTTTTTAAAAAACCCTTACATCTTTTAGTAGTGTGAAGGAATAATTATCTTTTAGATAAAGAGTTGGATGAGGAATCAAGAGGTCTGGATTATCTCCCCATCTCGGCCACAGAATGCCTATGTGGCCTCAGAGCCGTCACAAAATCCTTGCACCGCAGTTCCCCCATTTGTAAAAACCTGATAATAATACAGGGTTGCCTGACGGGGGTGATGTGAGAATTAATTAGTGAATGTTTGTAAAAAGCCTTGAAACAGTTGGAAGGAAAACATTATATAAGCACAGATTACCGTCAATTAGGATTTATAAAAGATAATTTAAAAAACAGTAATAAAGTTTGTGAACTTGACCACGTCCCTTTAAAAATTTCCACTACTGCCTCACATACGGCATGTTAGAGAGACCAAGTACAAGCGGGCTGAAAGTAAACAGCTGTCCTGAATACTAAAAAGCCCTGCAATAGCAGGTCTAAGGGCCAAATTTGCAAGTGCTCAACAGCACCCAAAGTCTGGGCTCATCTACATGGAAAAGTTGCATTGGTTTAACTTAAAGTGCAATTTTAAATGGATTTAGTGAAACTGGTGCAAATAGACTGTGTGGATACTGTTAGGCCCTGCTTCCTGCATATCCTTATACATGTGCTTAACTCCACTGTCATTAGAAGCCTTAGGACCGCTCGCAGTCGTTACGTTAAGAACTTGTGTGTTTTCAAGATCAGGGCCTCATTTTGGTTTAATTCAGGATTAGTTTGGTTTATCTTAAATCAATTAGAAATTGGTGTAAGTTGAACTGAAATAAGCCACTTTTACTCTGAAATAAAAGTGTCTACACAGGGGTTTCACCAGCGTAACTCAACTGGTTAAAAAACAGATGTAAGTTTAACTGGCGCAACTTTCTCATGTGGACAAGGTCTCGGCTGAGATTTAGGGACCTAAACAAAGTACCAAAGTACTCAGCAGCTCCCGTTGTGGCACCTGTACGATCAGATTTTCAAAACAAGATCAACATGAAACATACCAGGCTCTTTCGAAACTCTGACCACTTATTTTGGTGCCTAAATGGGAGGTAAGCTGTTTTGAAATTGAGGCCCTTGGTCTCCTATGTATTTTACAGACATTAAAGAGGGGTGCACTGTAAAATTAAAAAACGCACTTATGTCTGACATTTGCTTTACCTACGCTTGTTATAAGTAACATCCAACAGTGCTAAAAAAGAAAAAAGATAGCAATCCCTCCGACATCCTCCCCCAAACTATATTTCTACTTGTCCAGTTTGTTTATTTTGTGTACATGACAGTGATTTGTGCACAGCCAGCTTCACTGTTTCCTCTCCATAATCGGTTAGGCCATGATCCTACAAAAATGTGCGCACACGTTTGTCTTGACACACTGTAAGTAGTCCGGCTTCAATGAGACAACTCACAGAGTATAAAGTTAAGAATACATCAGTCTTTGCAGGATCAGGACCTCTGTCAATTTCCTCTGATTATGTGGGTTTTTCACATAGCAATCAGAGCGAAAAACATTTTTAAAAACAGGACAACGTAGTTATAAACTCACAGAAATTGGCAGGAGTGATCAGAGACAGCTGTAGCAGTACCTGAAACAATTTTTAATATATTTTATTAAATTGATTACTTTGCCACAGTTGTTGGTGTCCCTTTATATTCAGAACCAAAACTTTAGGTTTTAATTACACCCCCACAAAGCTAATAATAAAGTTATCATTAAAAATTACATTTCACTTTTAAAACGTAAAGCCATTTTGAACTGGTAAATCCTGTCTATTTTCTTAAAAAAAAAAGTTTGATATGTATATCCTTTATATACATCATACTGAAAAGGTGAAGGCACCGGCAGGAGTGAAAATGGAAGTCCTTCGTTTATTCACAGGTCAGGTATAGTGCAGTTAACTGCAGTGCAAGTTTCTCCACATGATCCTGCCAATGACCTTTCTCCTGACCTGGAAGGATCACTGTCTCTCCATGAATTAGAGGTGATTAAGCATCAGTGTCAATTTAGTCTCAGGCCTTTGCTAAGCAAAGACGGCTAACTGTGCCAAAATGTGTCTGATTTATTCACGGTGGTTTTGTGACAGAAGAACACTGATTAGACTCAAATCAAGGACCCAGAAAAGACTGCTTTATATCATTGGTAGTTCTTTAACCCAAAGTGTCACAGCAAGGGCTTAATATCCATCGGCTAAATTAATAGTTTTCACCAACCACAGTGACTGAAATCAATCAAGCTTTTCAGTCTTTTGGGCTATTTAATGCTGATTCAATTAACCAATTGTCAGATGAATATCTGTATCTACTGAGCTGTAACTACTGAGCTGAAATTCAAACTCCCCTCATTTATCCCAATATACAGTAAGGCAAGTAAAGTACAAAATAAAAGATTTCCCCTGCTTTGATGGCACGAGAAGTCCAGTAGCCTTATTTATTTCTCAGGTTTAAGAGCCAGATCCTCTGCTGGTATATCTGTAGTGCAGCTCTATAGTAGTCAATGGAGCTACACTGAAGATATGGCCCTAAAACTTTAAAACCTGTACTAGTTTTCAGCCAGGACACATGATTTAGGGGTCTCGAACACATGACTTATGAGGAGAGGCTGAGGGCACTGGGATTGTTTAGTCTGCAGAAGAGAAGAATGAGGGGGGATTTGATAGCTGCTTTCAACTACCTGAGAGGTGGTTCCAAAGAGGATGGTTCTAGACTATTCTCAGTGGTAGAAGAGGACAGGACAAGGAGTAATGGTCTCAAGTTGCAGTGGGGGAGGTTTAGGTTGGATATTAGGAAAAACTTTTTCACTAGGAGGGTGGTGAAACACTGGAATGCGTTACCTAGGGAGGTGGTGGAATCTCCTTCCTTAGAAGTTTTTAAGGTCACGCTTGACAAAGTCCTGGCTGGGATGATTTAATTGGGGATTGGTCCTGCTTTGAGCAGGGGGTTGGACTAGATGACCTCCTGAGGTCCCTTCCAACCCTGATATTCTATGATCCTATGATTCTATGCTACTCAGCTCGGCTAAGTTTACATGTGACATATCTGACATCAGGAATCATAACATTCAAAAACCGGTCGGAGAACACTTCACCCTCTCTAACCACTCAGTAAAAGACTTAAGGGTGACAATTTTGCAACAGAAAAGCTTCAAAAACAGACTCCAGCGAGAAACTGCTGAGCTTGAATTAATATGCAAACTAGATACCATTAACTTGGGTTTGAACAGAGACTGGGAGTAGCTGGGTCATTACACATATTGAATCTATTTCCCTAAGTTAAGTATCCTCACACCTTCTCGTCAACTGTCTAAATGGACCATCTTGATTATCACTACAAAAGTTTTTTTCTCCTGCTGATAATAGCTCATCTTAATTAATTAGCCTCTTACAGTTTGTATGGTAACTTCCACCTTCTCTGTATGTGTATATATATCTTCTTACTATGTGTTCCATTCTATGCATCCAATGAAGTGGGCTGTAGTCCACGAAAGCTTATGCTCTAATAAATTTGTTAGTCTCTAAGGTGCCACAAATACTCCTGTTCTTTAAGCAATTTAGTGATTTCCTTTGACTTCACTTCCACAGTTTGAACAGAATGTGCGTGTTTTCTTGAAATCCCCTAGCTTTTTGCTTGATGACTGAATGTTGCAATCTGTAAATACCACTAGGTTGCTGATTTGCAACAGGAAAATTGTATTAGCAGGAATAGTTAATTGCAAACTCCAGTTGGAAATTGAAGAGCCACATTGTGTTACTTGTGGTGATGGATGGCAAGTTGGAAACATGTCTTTGAGAAAATACAAGTCTAAACAAATGTGGTCTAGCCACGTCAAACCAATTTATGAATACAAAAGTGCAACTTGGTTACATTTTGAGATGGACGTGAGCCCTGAATTAGGTAAAAAACAATAGCACTTTGAGATGCCATGACTTTAGCTCGTCACCATTGTCTAAACCCTTAGCAACGTAAATAAAGTAATGTAAAAACAATACTGCGTTCTCTTAGTTTCCCAAGCATCTGGGCTCTTCTGTAACATAAAAACTAGATACAAAGCAATGCCACACTAGTGGAACAATAGAGAAGATCCAAAGAAAAATTGTTTTCCACTTTTTTGACCAAGCAATTAAGGAAATAAACATGAAGACTCCTTTTCCAACAAAAAATGAACGGCCATGAAGACAGCCCTGGCCTTCTTCATGGCCATTTGTTCTTCAGGCTACAGCAAATGTGGGAATACACAGAGCTATCCACGCTCTAGAGAGCACTTAATTCCCCTCATGCTTGTTGGCTCTGCTCAGACTATCCTCCCGCCTACATGACTGACTGAGCCTATAAATTCTGCTCATTAAAGATGTCTCAAAGTTATGTTATAGGTCAGTAATGAGGGAGAATAAAGCAACTTTGATAGGCAATTTACTGGTGCCTGGGAAGCAAACGCTGCTCACAAATCTGGAGGTGTCTCAGAAAGAAGGCTTGAGGAAAGGCCTAATCTGCTCAGCCACTCCTGTTGGAAGTTCCTTAGTTTGATCTTCTGCTTGTACTAACCAATAGCAAGAGTGAGGGGACAGCCCACACTATGCCTGAAAGTTTTTTTGTTTTTAATGGGGCACATGCAATCTTTGGATCCAATTGTGTGTGTGAGCTCCCGGCTGCATTTGGCAGGAGCCGGGTAAGGGAGTACAAGAAGGAGCATCAGGGAAAATGTTGTCAGACTCAGACAAACTTCCTCCTCAGGGTGCGTGTGGCAGCACTCCCCCCACAGCAGCGGTTCTACCACCCACACAAGGGCCAGATCCACAGGGCAAGGGGCCACCGCCCTCCCCCCACCATGCTCCTTGCTGGGAGGCTAGTACCACTGCTCGCCAGACAGGTTCAGACACACTACGTGTGCAGAGGAGCAGAGGTGAGGGAAGGCTTCTTGCGCCACTTCATCCCCGACCCTTCTCATTTACATACCTGCCCAAGCCAGGCACAATCCAACCCATGGAAATTGGCACACAGAGCTCTTGCTCCCTGTGCTATACTCTCCAGTCTTTCGTCTGCTCCATGACATGGTGTCTTTGCATTGGGTATTTTGACACAATATCACATGGCAACCTCCTGTCAGATTGCTGCCCACTATCACTCCCAGTCACTTCTGGCACTCCTGCTTTCCAGATACCCGCCTCCTTCCACTAAGTATATGTGTTTAGGCTTTTTTTCCCTCTTCCACAGATGTACTTTATTAGCTTGCATTTTTCCAGGCTGAATCGTATTTCATTGTTTGCTGCCTGCATTTCCAGCCTTTTCTATTACGTCACTGTCCTCACTGGCATTTGCAGTGCCTTCCCTTTCAGTATCATCTCTACTTCTGGATAACGATCTGAAATACCACCAGGCCTTAGCAGAGCTTCCTTCAGTACACTCTAGTGATCATCTGCCAATCCATTTCCAACACAAAACAAGGGGACGTTCAATGACATTAAACGGTGGAAAATTCAAAACCAATCAAAGGAAATATTTTTCACACAATGTGTGATGAAACTGTAGAACTCGTTGCCACAGGAAGTTGTTGAGGCCAAGAATTTAACAAGCTTCAAAAAGGATTGGATGTTTCTATGGATATCAAGAACATCCAGTGATATCGTAATTAACGGCAACAACAATTTTGGAAGGGATATTAAAACTGGTGCTTCAGGGCGCAAGCCAGTCTCTAACTATTAGGGTATGTCTATACGGGGAGCGTCTCAGAGCCTGGCTCAACAGATGTGGGCTTGCGAAGCGCTGAAGACAGCTGTGTAGACCCTACAGCTCGGGCCACTCAGGGTCTGAAGCCCACCTCTGGCTTCAGAGTCCCAGCTCCAGCCCAAACATCTACACAGCTATTTTTAGCACCGTAGTGTGAGTCCAAGTCTGCCGACCCAGGCTCCAAGGCTCGCCACTGCGGGCTATGTAGACAAACCCTTTGAGATCTATGCTGAGGGGAGGATTATCCCACACCTGCCTTCCATGGCCTTCTTGCAGCTTCCTCAGATGCACCTGGCCTTTGCTAAAGGCAAGATACTCGACTAGATGGACCCTTGGTCTGATCCAGTCTGGCAATTTCCCTGTTCCTAGCAACTCAATGCTGTACCAGTCAGCATGAGAAATTTACATTCATCCATGGCCAACCCACTCTGAACTAATTTGTCAGCAATATCTTGTGAGGCATTGTATGTTCCACCAACCTAGACAAAATGAGAGTCCCCGTCTTTCCTGGGCCAGTCTATGGAGTTACAAGAGACCCAACTTGGGTGGTGGGGGGGAAATAATATAATTTCTATCCCACCAGGTAAAGATTTACAAGAGTGGCTAGACCTAGTTTTCTGGGTCTAAACCTATTGGGTCAATATGATCACTTCTTGATGTTTAGCAGCTGTTCTCTGCAGCTTAGCACAGTTTGTACATCGCTTAGCACAATGGGGTCCTGGCCCACAACTGGGGCTCCCAGGCACTACAGTAATAGATGTATGGTATCACCTTAGAGACAGATAGTGATCAGTACTGACTGAACGGCCTTCTGCAGAAGCCAGTAGGAACTAGGGAGAGGGAAAGGGCTGACATGAAGTGGAGG